TCGTCAGTGCTTTTGCGGAAATTCAAGCTGCCAGTGTAGATAGCTGGCAAGTTTTTCCGCAAAAGCAGATGATTTTGCGGAAAAACTTGCCAGTCTAGATACAGCCAAGGAGCTCAGTCTATTTAGTTTAACAAAGAGAAGCCTACAGGATGATCAGTCTTTAAGAACCTAAACAATGAACAGATATTTGATAGCGGGATAGTGGATCTAATAGAAAAAGGTCTGAGCAATGGGCAGGTGGTTGGAGCTAGATAAATTCAGACTAGAAATGAGTAAGTTTTCAACCATTGTAACCACTTCTGAGGATTCTGATAGATTTTCAGTTGCTAAAATCAAGATTGGATTTTAAAGATACTGCCTAATTCAAAGGGAATTGTTTTGGTGGAGTTCTTTGGTCGGTGTTAGAGTTGCTGACTGGGAGTGACAGGGGGCAACTGCGCTGAGGTCCAGTGATTCAAAAGCACCTGGGGCTCTCGGCTGCCACTGTTACTGCAGCAACAGCAGTCCTAGCCTCAGACCCTTTAGATTGCCATTGCAGCTCAGCACAGCGCACTCGGGATGGCTCTGAGGGCTGGCGTGCGGGGAGGGTGTGGTGCGTGCGCAGCTCTGAGAGCTGGCTGCTCTAGCCCCACCCCTTCTGGGAGCACACCTCCTCACCTCGCCCAAGGGCCTGGCAGTTCTGTTGTTCCCCCGACAGGCGGTCAGACTACAGAGATCACCGTGGTCCTTTTTGGCCTTGGCACCTATATTCTATGAATAAGAGGAAACATATAAAACATGAAGACTAGACATGTATTTACCCTTACCAGCACCTTAATCTTTTCCTGTAAACTCCTCCGAGTTAACCCCATGTCTGGCTGACAGAGACCTACGGTTATGCTGCAGTGTGCTTGCTCCCTCCGACACTGTCTTGCTGTGTATTAGACTCCACCTGGGCAACTGACCCCCCTATCAACCCTCCCCAACCCCCCACTTCTTAGATTTGCAGTTATCAAAGCCTTATCTTTGCAGTTGTTTCTTTCCTGTTTTTCCCCCTTTCAGACTCCTTGGAATTAACTCTATGCCTTCTGGTTGGATAATATCACACAAGAAAACTCAGGTGTACATTATTAGAAATAATATACCTAATTCTCTAATTCCCCATACTGTCTCCCATTGTCAGCAGCAGTTGTAGTGAAGACTACATAGTTCTACATAGTTTAGTGCTAGACAGAGGCCACTTTCATACTGTGCATTCGCAGGTTAGGTGCTTACAAGGACATAGGTGACCAAAATATTTAACCAAACTGAATCCAGAGCTTCAGGATTAATCTTTCCTGCTGGAGCTAAAATTTATTCTGATCCAAAAAGCCTCTTTCTTCATGTATTTAAGTGCCATAAAATGCATGCTGGCGTTTCTGCTTGTCTAGCAGTTAATTCTTCAATAGCTGCTGTCTTCCATTCTCTTGAGATCTCTGATTTCCTTGGTGTCAGTAACTTGTTCCATTCTTGGGTGTCCTTTATTGAGAAATCAAGAATTGAAGGGAGGATCTACCTCTTCTCTTAAGGGTATGTCTATACAGCAAAGTTATTTCAAAATAACAGCCGTTATTTCAAAATAACTTTCCTAGCATCTACACAAGCCGACTGCTATTTCGAAATTAATTAGAAATAATGGAGGGCTTATTTCGAAATTGGTAATCCTCATTCCACGAGGAATAGCGCCAATTTCAAAATTGCTATTTCAAAATAAGCTCTGTGTAGATGCTTATTTCGAAATAGGGGGCCTCCAGCCCTTCCCAGGGTGCCCTGCTGGCCACCCTGGCCACAAGGTAACTTCTGACCTGATGCCCTGCCTAGTTCCGGCTGGCCTTAAATGTGATTCAGCATCCAATCAGTGTGGACAGACTATTTCGAAATAGCAAAAAGCTATTTTGAAATGCATTTTGTGTGTAGATGCGTTATTTTGAAATTAGATATTTTGAAATAACAATGTAGTATAGACATATCCTAACAGAAGCAATCAGACCTATAGCCCTGGTCTACACAAGAGGGTTATTTCAAAATAACTCCCCTTACTTTGAAATAACAAGTGGAGTGTCCATACTACCACACCCGTTATTTCGAAATAGCAGTAGTGTGGATGCTCCACTGCTGCTTTTTCAAAATAACTACTCCTCGAAGTAATTCGAAGTAATTACTCCTCAATACTTTCTGGGGCTCTAAGTCAAGGTAGTGCATCCATGTTAAGGGAACCTGCCTCAGACTAATTTCGAGGCTTCCCTGTAGTGTGGACACGCTATTTTGAAATAGCTATTTTGGGAGTTATTATTTCAAGATAAGTTATTTCAAAATAATTTCTTAGTGTAGACATGCCCATGAAGATACTGTGGTGGGAATATTAGCATAAGTTGAGTTTGGGGAGCTCAAAGAGGGAGAAAGAGAGAGAATAGAAATGGAGTCCCAAAATCAAAACTCTAGATTAGTTAGACTGCTGATTATACTAGAAAATGTGAATATTAGTGATGGATCAGTTTGGTCAGGTATTGGGGACAAAATGTTTATATTTAGATATAATTATGATTTTCCTAGTTATGTGTCAAACTGTTCCATGGCTCCTTTCAGGTGATTACTTTGAATTAATTTAATCTACTCTTGAATATAGACAGGAAAATTAGTTTTATGTTGATGGTATTTAGAATTATCAGTAATAGTAGTCTTTACACTGAAAATAGCTCCAAAAATGTTAAATATTTTAGAGACTGATAAATTAAACAGTGGTACCTTCGTCTGCCCCTGAAGTTTGGCATTTATAATATTGTATAATGGTTTGGCAGAACATGAAGGGAAATATAATACGTCAGAAAACACGTGTAGGTAGAATGATCGCACTAAAATGTGGGCAGGATGCCTCTGTTATGAAAAATGTCATAGAAACTTTAATACATAGAAGTTATTAGACTTCTTTATTACATTGTATATGTATGATGGCACATTCGGCAGCAGGGATAGTACACAGCTATGAGTATGTTTCTATTCTAACAGCACCAATAGAGCACATTGACTGAAAGGTAGTAGCAGGATCTAGAGCACAGGAGGCTAATTAGTTAGTAGACACTTTTGAAAGTGTAACTTGACAGCTAATTAGTAAGCCTTTACTTGTTAATTGCCCACAAACAAAGGCGACCCAGGTCCCTGACCCTCCTTTGTATTACATCATTCAGACTGTGACCTTTCAGACATCTTACATGTAGAATGTTTCATGAAACAATGATTATTTCAGGCTTCTAAACACAATCAACTGAATTAATCACTGGCATAATGTCAAATTTGAGTTATGTCGGAGATGAAGTTTTCCCAGAAAGTTACTATCCCAGCCAGACTATAAATGAAAGCTGTTTGCTGGCTCTGCTAAACATAAACATGTTTGTTTTCCTGTTATTTGACTGCTTTTTTAATCTGTCAGTGGAAATTTTTAAAAAATCATCATAGCGTGGTAAGACAACAGTACAAACAGATGTATTCACTTAATCCAATATAAAGCAAAAGTGTGCCTTCAGCAGATTTTCTTAGCTCAGTTGATTCAACAGGTGGGATGAAGACCCAGTCTTCTACCAATCCAGCAAAAGTAATATGACAGCAGAGACTCAACAGAAGTTGAAAAAATGCCTCTGTGTGTTGTGATTGGCTAACGGTGTACTTCTCCCTGTTGAGAGCATATAAAGCAGGGTCACAAAATCCAGGTTCCTTGTGATCTTTAGAACAGTCCCCTTAGTATTTATCTTAGTATTTAAAGTGGGTTTAAACTTGCTAACCAGCTCATAGGGCGACTGTTTTTCTGTACCACTGAGTGTGCTTTTTCATATTACAGTAGACTTTCGATAATCCGGAACCTTTGGGACCTAGGTGGTGCCGGATTATCAAATATGCCGGACTGTCAGGAGGTACTGTAGGATGGTTATATATATATATATGCAATATACTGTATATAAAGTGTTTTAACCCTTTTTATTGTAGCACAAGCACTGTCCAGTGTCACACAATATGTGGCAGACTGACTAGGTCCCATCCGGTTTCGCTCGGTTCAGCTGCTGCCGCTGCTGCCTTGTGATTCGTTTTTTGCCAAAGCTCTCTCATTAGGCTCTTGCCATTTTGATGCCGGACTATCAGGAGTGCTGTACAATTGGATGCTGGACTATTGGAGTTTTACTGTATTGCTATGTTAGAGCCTGATCAGCTTCAGACCCTTGATTTGTACTTCTCAGGCATTGTGACTGTTATAGTTGTATTTTTTATTTTTAGGTATGGATATGTGTAGTGTAAGGAATGGTCCTTCTTCTTTTCTTTTTATTCACAGGACTCTATTTTTAAAACATGGGTAAACGTAGCAATTTCTATACCACACCAATTATAAAATATATTAATATTGAAATAATTTATTTTATAAAAACAAGTTTAAATTAGGTTGAGTTCTCATGTCATGAAAGATTTGTTTGTGGAATACTTGTCATTTCTTTTTTTCTCTTCTAAAAATACGTATTTAGCACGTAACACCTGATTTATAACATGGTGCATTCCAAATTGGCAGAGAGAATGTGCAAATAGTTATTTTAATAGGTATAACCAACTGTTCATTATTTCTGACCAGATTATACCATTAATCATTTAATGCTTTATCAAAGAAAATTGTTTTATAAGAAACAATTTTCTGCAACACTGTT